GATGCAACAACGGCTACTAAACACCACTAACGACTTTACCGAGTCTGTTCATATTAGACAAATAGTGAGGTCGGTATCTACATCAACCTCTTAAAATGTATTGATAGTAACATCCCGTTCTATCTCACTAAAAACCATATCCTGATTTCACCAGGTAACTCTCAAGGCATCATCCCTCCTCACCACATACTGAGAGTCATAGACATCAAATCCAAGAAGCCTGTCGTAGATAGTAAACAGTAATTTTTATAATTATCAAAATGCCAACTAGACTATACACAATGCGACTGGCTAAATGTGCAGAACCCTAGACAGGTGTGACCTACCAGTAGATCTATCGCCCGGTACCTACCACTATCTGGCAGATTCTTATCTGGCAGGCAGATTCATATCTGGCTGGCAGATTCTTATCTGGCTGGCAGATTCTTCTAAATTCTTATCTATCTAAAATGTTTTGTGCGCGCACGTCTTCTAAGCTGTACGAGAACTGGAGTACACGGTTTTCATCCGGTCGAGGGTAAGTCGACTTCGGGAGTTTCTCTCCACCATCAAGTTGCAGACTCCCAACCATTAGCCCTGAAAGATGCCGTTTAATGGCTTTAAAGCGGCAGTGGAGAAAGGCTGCACAGATCGGCAACAACCAGCGTACAACGTTTCCTGACCAGTTGAACCAGGAATGGAACCAGGAATGGAACCAGGAATGGAATTCTCGCACGTGGTCGTCTAAGCCCCTTACCGTGTAAAAGGCCGCGTCGCAGCACTGACACTGCCACAGTCCATCTTCGTCGTCCAAGCTCGCATCGGACGACTCCGAATCCGCTCGTCTTCTGTAGCAAAATCCCTCGAAGTGGGCTATGCCGCGACTTCCAATAAGCCTTTCTTCCTCGTCTAGGCTTTTCTTCGAGGGTAAAGTCCCTCCTTCCCCTGATACTGAAACACCGTGTGCCCCAGGCTGTGGCTCCCCGTGACCGACAGGCCTGTCAATAGGTTCTCCGCGACGTGAATGCGATTGTCTGTGTCGCAGATCTCCGTGTCGCAAATCCCTGTGCCCCAAATCCCTGTGCCGTAGTTCCAGGTCGACTTCTATCGCCCGTGTAGGGAGTTGTGATAGATCCTCTAGCCCGCGCGGATCAGTCAGAGGGAAGGAGTCGGGTTCTTCGTCACTACGGCCGCCAGTTTCCGTCGGTCGGTTGCTTTCATATGTCGTTTCTAGTCCTGCGGGCCTTGTCTTGTCCACTTTTGTGTCCACTTTCGTGTTCACCTCCCCTACCATCCGGGACTGACGATCGGATTCCGACTCCGGGCAGCGGTGGGCGTAGAGCGCGTGGACGCTGCGGTATTGGCTCTGACATCTCACACACGTGTGCGGCGCACACCCACCTGCGACGCAGTGCCTTAAAAGCGCCGCCTTGTCTGCTACACGCACTCGACACGCACCACAATACCAGTGCGCCGCCTCCGCCAAGTGCTGCACGTACCGCTGCTCACACGCGCCGCAATCGAACAAACAACACGAGCACTGAACCATATTTTTCGATGCCGCCGCCGCAACGGAGAACCCTTGGCAACCAAGCCGTCATCAAATCCAACGCTTCTGTACCCACGCCCCTACCCTTCCACCCCTTCCACTGGGGGGGTCCCTGGCGGACAGTTCACTGGGAACGTCCCGAGAGTGACTCTACACCGGAGACCTTCCACAGAAACCTTCCACTGTCGCTGCCGCCCCCACATTCCACCCACGCTACGTTGCAGCTCATGGACCATGTCATGATGGCGTCCAAGCTCTTTACGGAAAAAGCGACGTCGTATCAGGAGTACAAACAAGAGTGCGAGAGCTTCCGTCTGGTGGCTGCTGTGGCGCTCACAGGGGTTCTGACTGTGTCTCTTTGGTGGCACGGGCGCAAGAAGGGCGGCAAGTGAGGATCCTACCGGCCCTGCCCCTCCGGTTCTATCTTTTCGGTTTTACCTTTTCGATTCTACGTTACCGGTCCACTTTTCGTTCCGTGTGTGTCCTTTCGACTCCACCCACCCGCTCTGTTAGTTCTGCCCGCTAATTGTACCGCTAGCTATGAGGTTGTTGTGAAGAATTACGCCGTTATGCTGGCGATGACGACGGTCATTGGAAGAGGAACCGAAGGTCGTCAGAAGAGAGTTTCTGGAAGGCCTGGTTATTGCTTCCGACAGTCCCGTCGAACACGAGTTGTTTCTTCTCCTGGAGTTGGAGTATCCGTTCTTCGATGGTGTTTTTGGCAATCACTCTGATGGCCGTAACCTTCTTGGTTTGTCCAATGCGATGTGCTCTTTGTATGGCTTGCATCTCCGCCGCGGGGTTCCACCACGGGTCCATTAAGTAAATGTGATTTGCCACTTGTAGGTTGAGTCCCTCTCCGCCTGCCTTAAGAGAGATTAGAATGACCTGTAAGTCTGGATCGGTGTTGAATGCAATGATCATGTTCTGTCGACTTTCCATACTCAAGCTTCCTGTGAACACAGCGCACTTTATCCCCTCTCTCTTTAGACTGAATTCGATGAGGGCCAAGAAGTTCGTAAATTGACTAAATACTATCGCCTTCTCTCCTCGTTCAACATTCCTTAACTCCTCAATCAAAACTTCTATCTTCGTTGAACTCTGAAACTCTTCTGCGCGGAAATGACTAATAATCGAATTACGATTCACCACCGCTTGAATATGGCTATCATCTGTTGGGTCAGCAGCCTCCGAACGCACCAAATTGTACGTCAAACTTTGGTAACAAACTGGACATCCTATCCTCACATTACTGGCCGACTGCGCTGCACTGGCCGACTGCGCTGCTCCAATCTCGGGAACAGACGGCGGCGCAGACTGTACATATTCATCCAAACAAGCCATGTCGAAATAATGGTGACATGCGCTCTTATAAAAGGTAGTCTGCTCGATATCCTCTTGACAGAGACCGCAGATATGTGTTGTCACATTTGCGGACAGGGCTGCGGCCAATGCGCCACGGTCTCCGTCTGCCGCGGCCTTTAGAAGACCAAATCGAATTAAATAAGGGTGATCTACAGCTTGCCTAAGACGCGATAATAAATCAAACACGTGTGCGAAATTATGCAAAACGGTCCCGGAATTAACGTAGGTGTCGAATCTCGTCTTGCTCTGCTTGTACAACGCCTCGTAAAAATCCATCTCTTGTTCGGAGAGTTCCTGCTTCCGTATATAAACTTCCAGAGGTGGCAATTTTACGTCCTTGGCGCGTTCCACCTTGGTCCTGCGCAACAAAATTTGACTCAAAACATCCTTCCGTAACGCTTGCAGCGCCAGAGCACCTTCTCCTTGCGCCTGGTAATTGATAATGGGCTTCGCCACTTTCCGGTTGAAAAATGAATAGTGGACCATTTTGGTATGGCCGCATTTGACGCAGTACGATCCTTCTTCGAACGAATAATTCAGACTCGAGCAATGGCATCCTTTCTTGTTGCAAAAGTAGTACGCGTACGGATAGAACTGGAGGAAGCGCAGGAGACTATAGAGCTCGTGGACCCTGTTCTGAAGAGGTGTCCCGGAAAGACACCAGCGCGTACCGCATGACTTGAGCGAAAAGACACTCTTGCTTGTATTTGTGCTATGGCTCTTGATTCGGTGAGCTTCGTCAAGCACGATTCGATTCCATTTGATCGAATGCAACGGACTTGATGACAAATCAATTCGCCCAAGTTCAATGTTGTCCGCATTTGAACGGTCTACCTCGTCGGAGCGGTCGGGGCCCGATTCTTCCTGTGCACGTTCTGCGACCTTAGCACGTTTCCTACCTTGCGCAGACTCTCCTTTAACAGTTTTGCGACCTTTCACAGACCCGCCTTTCACAGACCCACCTTTGATCAGCTTTCCAGATTGGCCGACTTTCGCAGACTGACCCCCTTTCAAAGACTGGCCGCCTTTCAGAGCCTTGCCTCCTTTGCTGACACCCCGTTCCTTCGTCTTTGACCTCGGGGCAGCAGCGTATGGTTCCACATCGCTGTCTTCCCAGTCGCTCGATTCCACGTCCATGTCAGTTGCCTCCGAGGATGATGCCTCTGACGTCTCCCAAGCCGTAGCACTCCTCGACGAGGTACTCAGCAAGTCCGAATCTTCCGAAGTGTCTGAACCTAGACTCACACTCAGGGATCTCGCACGCTTCCTCGATGACCCCACAGGAGGAGCTCTCATGGCTCTCAACTCGCCTGTCGACGCACGTCGTCCCGGATCCCCTAGGTCCTCCTTCGCCGGTTGCTTCGGTCCTTCCTGCTTCTTCGGCTCCTGCTTGATGATACTACTACGACGACCAGCACCAGCAAATCCCCGACCAGGGTGACCAGTACCTGCACATCCAGTCCTTTCCCGACTAGTCCGTTGGGTCTTCCAGTGGCCCTCTTCTCTCTTGACTGTGGACCCTTCAGACTCTTCGGAAGACGGAGCGAATAAAGGACGGGCGGTTTTGCCGTCCCTTGGCTTCCTCCTTTGCTTGCCCATAGAGGACGGATTCCCATGGCTGCTCTTCCACTCCACCAGCAGCCGAACATAGTCTTTCTTCAACCAACGTCCTCTAGGGTCCCCAATCAGACTTAGGTCTTCGCACCACTCCCTCAATTCAGCAATGCGCTTTTTCCGCAACTGGGAATCTGAAATCCTCAAGACCCCTACCGCCGCCGCACCACCTCCGAGAACCCCTGACTCTCCAACAGCCCCTGCAACAGCCTCTGCCACCGCCTCCGGTGAATCTGCCGGGGTCTTCGGGTTTTTGCTATCGCACTGATACATAGGGGTTAACATCTCTTCCAACACGGGCTGATAGACGCCCCCATCCGGACGACCCGGCCAACGGGGGGGAGTCTGGTCCCCAGGTACCGAAGAACCCGCCTCCGGAACCGCGCCCTCCTCGTCCGTCGTGTTCGAACCGTCGCCCCGAACCCCTTGGTCGAGGACCACCTGCTCTGGAACGAGTCGTTCGGAAACAACCTCGCTAGCTTGCTCTGGAACGAGTTGTTCGGAAACAACCTTGCTAGCTTGGCCATCAAGTTGGTCATTAGCTTGGTCGTCAACTAGATGGTCAAATCGGTCATCAGCAAACCCTTCCGCCTCGGACACGATCGGCTCGGACAGCCGACGTCCCCAGTCGTCCTGGATTTCCTCTCTGGCAGCCGGAACGCCGGTGGTCTCCACCTCAACCGGAATGCGGCCGGTGTCCATCACCCAGTCGTCACCTTCCACAAAGTTTGTTTCGGGCGAGGGCAAATCCGCGCCGTGGAATGCGTCGTCCATCCGCTGAGGCGGGGAGTCTTGAGTGTCCCTGTCTCTGGTCTCCCGGTCTGGGGTTCCCTGGTCCCCGTCTGTCGTCTGGACATCTCGGGCTCGTCTTCTTCGGGGTGGGCCAAGCCACGGCGCTGCGGAGTAGTCTTGGGCGTCTTTATATCGTCCAGCCTTGATCAAGATCTCCCTGTACATATTGCTGATAGTCGGACAGCCGAGATCTCGGGCCGCCTCGGCTTCGGGTCCACTAACTACACTGGTGAAACCACTGGTGAGACCACCGGTCAGGTCACTGGTCAGGTCACTGCTTTCAGTAATGACTGTGCCTGACGCGAAGTCATCCCCAGCTCGGAGATTATCTATATCGGATCCGTCCGGGTGGTCATCGTCGAGATCGTGGTTAGCATCCACGTCGCCATCTAGATTGTGTATGGTACGCATTGCCTTAGCTCGGACGGCTTCATATTTGCGATCTGTGAGGGCTTGTTTGGCAGTACGTTCAGCATCGGGTCCGCACATGTGTTTGAGGTGGTTGCGAAGCTTGGATGGCAGGAACATTTTGGAGCAGTACGGGCATTGGAGCTTATGCTTCTTGACGACCGCGCGGTAGTCGGCTTCGAGGGTAGGGTAGGTGGTAATGACAATGTCCGCCCGCTCCAGTTCCTCCACCAGTAACGAACGATTGGCGCCATGGTAAATGACCACGTTCAGTTGTTCGTTAGTAAAACGACTTATTTCGCCTTGCCACTGCAACACGGCCGCCAACGGCGCCACGACCAGCGTGGCCCCTTCCCGCGTGACCTCCGGGTGCTCGTCTACCCGGCACTCCGGCTCATCACCGTACGTACTCACCATCTCCAACTCCGCGGTTCGAGTCGCGCCGCCTGCCGTCCGTCGTCGCTTGCTCCGGGGCTGCCAGACGCGACGCCGACGCTCATCGCAGTGTTTCTGGTGACCGCGATCTTCTTGGCCGCGTCTTGCTTTCCTTCTCCCGTTCTCTTCGCGGGTCTTCTCTGCCTCTGCCTCCTCCTCTTCCTGCAGACGTTTTTGTTCCTCTTCGAGTCGTCGTTGTTTCAGTTCGAATTTTGCGCGACGTTCGCAATTAAGCTGGCTATTGGGATGTGCCGGCGGGAGTGGAATGGAGCCTCGGAGGGGGTGGAGGGTACCGAAGACGCGATTGAGCAGGATACAACCAATGGTCTGGATGGTTTTACCCATTCCCATTTCGTCGGCCAAGATACCACCAAAAACCTTCGGATCGGCCTCTTGATACGCCATCCATGCCACACCCTCCTGTTGGAAAGGTAACAATGTACCAACCATACCCGGGACATACTCCACTGGAGCCAATGTCGTCACCACGTGCTCTTTTGCGACATCCAACAAAGACACATTATCATCGGCGCATCGCTTCGATACCGCCGACCAAAACTCAGCCCGTACCTCCTTTGCAAATGCCATCCACTCCGCACAGTAAATTTCACACCAAGTCAACATATCTACTGAAAATGCCTCCGCCTCCGCCTCCGATTCTGCCCTGTCATCGTGTCCATTAGTTTCCCGTAAACTCATCTCTGTATTGGCTCTTTCCAGGCTGCAGGCCATGCGAGACTCTTCTTCGCCGCTGTTGGTGGCCAACCAGGCGTTGAATATCTTGGGTATTACTTGATTCGCGCACTCAAGGTGTATCCAAGCCGGAATGGCACCGAGCTCACCCCGCGGGTCACGAAGCGGCCATGAGACGCGATAGGACTTGCGAGCGATGTGCTGCCCGCACATGCGGCAAGATGCCATACCCGAAGGACTGCACTGCACACTACAAAACGCATCCACGAAGTCGCTCTTCAACGCCTTCGGACACCGCGTCCGAAACTGATCTGCGGTAGCCCATATCCGACCTTTCGCCGACCACTTGCAACCCTCAACTAGGTATTTATACTTCGGAGCCTCAGACATAACATTTAATTGACCCGGCCAATATCAAATTTACTCGACCCCCCCCGGGCACCGACAATATCACGCCCAAGCCAATATCTTGTCACCGACGAAGGTTAACCAAGCGAGCAAGACCAGCTCTCTCTCAGGCAAGCCGTGCCCTACGTCGAGTGCCGACAATCAAAAAACCCCTCAGCGGTGAACCGGCCAACAGCGCTCTCCTCGTATCATCTGGACCCTCCTGGCCAGCACCACGGTTTGCCTACCAGTCCCGATCGACTTACCTCGGTCAATTTTCGTCGGTCAATTTTCCTCTATCGAGACGCGCTGCTGCTTCCGCTAGCCTTCCACCACCCTCCTGAAACGCTTAACTATCTTCTCGGGTTCGCCCCTGACGTACACTTCCTCAATCTTGGGCCGTACCATTTCGAACTGTGCTTGAGCCGGCTCATCCTGTGGCTCCTCTTTAATGCATGCCGCCTCAAAGTCCATCATGGTCTCCGGCTCTTCCGCGCCCGGTCCAGCCATTTTGTGCGGCTCCTCGTCCCACGGCTCCTCGTCCCACGGCTCCTCGCCCCACGGTTCCTCGCCCCACGGTTCCTCGTCCCACGGTTCCTCTTTAATGTATACCGCCTCAAAGCCCATTTTGATGGCCGGCTCTTCGGCGCCCGTTCCAGTCGCCCTGGTTCCCGCCGCGTTGGTTGCAGCGTTGGTTTGTCTCCGGGCCTTGGAAGGCGATCGGGCCGGAGTCGTCGCGATTGATTTGCCGTCAACGGATACACTTTTGATGAGGGCGAATTCGGCGATCGTGACGGTGGGGAGGTTGCGGAGGTTGTTACGAAGTAGTTTCTTGGGGCATGTGCCACGGCGTGCGAAGTAGGATGCGCTGCGCTTGATGCACTCGAGCTGTCGATTATTTTGTACTGGTGGTGCGGGGTTAAACTCTAGTTGTGCGGTGCAGAACTCGATCAGTTTTTCTAGGGGAGCCTGTGCGTGCTGTAGAAGACAGCCCACGATCCAGTTGCGGGGTTTGCGGGAACCGAGATTGGAGCGAAGTTGTTTCGCCACGTACTTCCCAACGTCGGAGCCTACCAAGCCGTACGGTGACAGGTAGTAGTAGGAGATAATGGCCCCGAGCTCCACATAGGCTAGCGCGCACCTGGCGAAGTGTTCGAGGCCGACGGTGCGCATTCGCCACCAGACGGGCTCTGGAATCGAATCGTGGAGCGCGCGGTACGCCAAGAACTTGTCATTAAACACACTCGGTCTCGTCCGCCGCCGATGTCGCTTCGCAAGCCACGTGAGCACGCTCAACGTAGGCACGTACACCGGCCACGGCGACTGGTCCAAAACTTGGGGATTCGACGCCTCCGTCATCGTCCCCGAAGACGAGCCCTCGCGCCCAACCTTCACATCCCGGGTTCGAGTCAAGAGGTTGCTCACCGCCAAATTTGCACCCGGACCCTGCTCCACACCCGGACCCCGTTCTACACGCGACGCCAACACGTCATACTCCTTCCGACCCAACGGCCGCCAGTACTCCAGCATCCAACGCTTCTCCACATCCTCCACGTCTCTCAACATCAATCGGCCGGTTCGCAACATCGCCAGCACACAGTGAACAAAAGACCCTCGGGCGTCATTGCCGCGGGTCACCCTGACTGCCCTCGTGCCCATCAGAATAATCCAACCGAATTTCTGACCGGGAAATTCCAGTCCCACGTACTGGCCGGTACGACGAGCAACCCCCAGTGATCTACACCTTCACCGCTGGACAGACTCCTCCGACCCCTAGTCAGCTGAGTCTTGTCCAACCGGATCCAGTGTACTTGGACGGTCTTTGTCTTGCTCCACGTCTTGGTCTTTGTCTTGCTCCACGTCTTGGTCTTGGTCTTGCTCCACGTCTTGGTCTTGGTCTTGCTCCACGTCTTGGTCTTGGTCTCCCTCCACGTCGTAAATAATGGACTCGATTAGGTCGCTGTCAAGACACGCGGAGCCGGCGAGTGGGCCGGTGCGGCTTCTCAGGACGTCGGCAGGGGTGGTGGCGGAGGTCGCGCCAGGGGCTGGCTTCCTGACAAAGGTCGGCCTAGAAGATGGTTGCCGGACCAACCTATCGGCGGGCGCCTGCAGCCAAGGGGGCGGATCGAGGCTGTAGGGCGAGGGCACGACATACCAGCGTTGCAGTTCCGGCGGAGAAAGGCGGTGTTGCGGACTCGGCAGGGTGTTTTCCCACGGGCAGCGTCTCTGGCCCTTGTGGCAGAGGCGGTCGAGCCCGCCGCAGAGGACAAAGTAAATCGGCACTGAGCAGCAGGCTGCGAACGAAGACAGCAGCGGGGCAGACACAGGGGGAGGCATGGAAGGGGGGATTGCACGACACGTCTTGGGGGGGGGAGGGGAGGTGAGGGGGGGGGGCACTCACGACCCACAGTTAGAGATTCTCACCTTCGGGAGGTGGCGGTGGCGGTAGTACGCGACCCCCAGAAGGCGCGCAGAGCTTCTGGTTCAGCGTTCCCTCGGGACCCACCCGAGCCGCAACGCAGCGCGTTCAAGAAAAGTGCTTGAGAGTCGCTCTTGCTCAGAGTCGCAGTTTGCCCGGGCACATCGAACACCAGACTCGCCACCCATTCATTATCCGTTGTCTGCCACGCCTCTGACTATCGAATTGTTTGCCAAAAATCACCGCGATCGCTGGTACGCGATCATGCTAGCCGACCCTACAGACATGCTAGCCGACCCTACAGACCCAACCAACGTAAGGAGGCTGTCAACGAGGCCGCTGGTGGTCCTTGAGCGTCGCCCAAACACCAGATGCGCTGTCATCGACGTTTATTAAACACCTCTATGACCAGCGCTCAGCCCCAAGCTGCAACACGGGCTGTTTTTCTCTCTTGCAGCCAACCCAGTAGCCAGCCGGCCGGGCAGGGAGGGAGGAGGACCTCAAAGCCGGTTTTGTTAGAGTTTTTGTCTGCTGTATTTCTGAACACCACCGTCGCCGTTGCGCAACTGGCCCCATACTCGGCTCAGAATTTTTTTCCAATGCCCTACAGCTGTCAGACCGCTCTCTGGCTTCTCTTGTGAATGTTCTGTTTTGCTTTCCTCGAAAGTAAAGACGTAGGTGCCGCGGCCGCGAGCGTTTTCGGCTGTTTGATCAATTCGCACCAACTCCCAGCGGTCGCGGTTTATGATTTTCAACTCAGACTCCAATATCTGCTTCGGAGTCATGACAACAACGGGGAACGTATTAACTCTCGGGAGCATCATGCTAGAGCAGCAGGAGGAAACGTCACTAACTCCACATTTATTGCTTATCTTAAGGCCGCCCTTCTTGTCCAGGGTTCCGAATATTGTTTCATTCCAACCACAACGCAGCGCCTGCAAGAAGAGCGCATTGTCCGCCTTAAGCGTCGCAGTTTGCCCGGACACATCGAAAAGTAAAAATGCCAACAGCTCGCCGTCTGTCCGTTGTCGTCTGCCACTTGCTGTGCTTCTCGCCATCGAATTATTTATGTTCTTAAAAAATCACGCTTGCGACCCAAAACGGCGTCAATAAGATTCGAACCAGAACCTTATCGCTCACCGGTTCCATCCAAAACATGACCATCCAAAACATGACCATCCAAAACATGACACACTCTCTGACATCCAAAAGCTCATAGCTAGTATTCCGCCATCGTCATTGTTGCCGTCAGATTAGGATAACCATGCTGTCTTCGCGGACCGACACGCCATTAGAAAAAGGCCATTTTCTGGGGCCTCCGCACGGCACTGAGCAGCACACTCCGGGCTCAAGCCTCTGTTCTTCACTTGCGGATCCCTGGGCGTCTCCTCTCGCGTTGCGCACTTTGTTCCAGACCCGATCCAGCGTCTTCTTCCACCTCACACTCTGCCTCCGTCGTTGTGCAGGTTGGACATCCGCCAGCCCTGTCGTCTCTGGTTTTGATTCCGGTATGTTTGATGGGTCTGTACTTCCTCCCTCGAAAGTAAAGACGTAGGTACCACAGGTACCGTCTTCGTTTTCGTCAGTTTGATCAATCCGTATCAGAGCCCAACGGTCGCCGTTTATGATGTTCAGGTCTGTATCACGGATTTGACTACCAGTCATGACCACCGTGGGAAACGTCTGGACTCTCGGGAGGTTCAGTCCGGGGTAGCGAGCGGAACTAACATTCGCCTTATCGCGGTAGAATGCAAAAATGTCTTCCCTTCAAACTAACATTCGCCTTCCCATCTATCGCTGCGGCGCATCCCATATCCCAGCCGTAACGCAACACCTCCATGATGGCCGTCTTGCTCGCCTTGAGCGTCACGGTTTGCCCGGGCACCTCCAATAGCAGGTGCGCCAACAAGCCGCTATCCGTTGTCTGCCACTTACTACAGCTTTCGTCATCACATTATTTAAGCTCACAAAAAATATAGCGACCGTTTACTCGCCGTTTGGTCAGGCGATTTAGCCACCTGTGACCTAAAACGACAATGGTGAGATTCGAACCAGAGACATGTCACTCATCTCAGCGGCATTTTGATGCTCGCCGTCTTCGGTCGCATCCAAAAACGTGCTCTCCGCGGCGACAGCAGCCAACTCACTCTCGGGGAGAGAGCCGGCCCTGCAGACCTAACGTTGTCTCGACGATCCTGCCAACGTGACCTTCCAAGATGGTAGTCACGAGGAGGTAGCCAATCTCCACAAGGTAAAACCTTATCTTGTTGAGTCACACTAGCGGCCTGCCAAGTCTCAACGCGACCCAGTCCAGAGGCAACGCCTGCACGGGCCCAGTGCCATCGATGGCGGCAGGCGGAATTAGCACATGACTGCCCATACAGTTAGTGCCTCCGTGTTCCACGGCCATCCACAACCCAGACGAGCTGGACGGCATCGACAAGACCTTTGCAACTTACGACCGAACCGCACCTTCACCAAGACGCCCTGGTCACCGTCAAACTGGACTCAAATTAGTCACCGCCAATTTTGGCGCGCCCTCTGCCGGTTCTAGACGAAAAGAACTTTTCTCAAAAAAGGACACGGATGCAACCCTGCACACGAAGCAGCGTCTCTGACTCATGTGTGAGCCGTCAGGCTTTACTAGGTCCCAGCCAGTTCAATCGAACCCGCCTGAAAAGCAGCTGCTGAGCCTTGAGCGTCGTCACTGTTGCCGTCTCCGTTACCGTTTCCGTTGCCGTTTGGTCAGTTTAACCGTACTGTCTTCAACCGACACGTGCACGTCATCCGAAGGGTCGCAACCCTCCATCTTCTGGGGCATCCACGTGGCACTGAGCACCAGGGTGTGGAAAGGCTCAAGCCTCTGTTCTTCGCTTGCGGATCCCCCGGCGTCTCCTCCGCCGTTGCGGACTTTCTTCCAGCCAGCGTCTTCTTCCACTTCGTCGCTTTGCAGGTTGGACACCCGCCGGGCGCCTCTCTGATTCGGTATGTTTGGTGGGTTCCGGTCTGCACTACCTCCGGTCTGTACTACCTCCTGTCTGTACTACCCCCGGTCTGTACTACCTCCCAAAGAAGTAGGTACCGGGACCGTCAGCGTGTTCGTCTTCGTCAGCGTGTTCGTCTTCGTCAGCGTGTTCGTCTGTTGGACTGTTGGGCCAATCCGTATCAGAGCTCAGTGGCCACGATCGGATCTGAGTAGTAGTTATGACCACCGTCTGGACCGTCGCAGTTTGCTCGGGACATTTCGAAAAATACTCCAACAGCCAACAGCCACTCTCCGTTGTAGATATTCGATGAGGAGAGGCGATCGCTTGCTTCGGTTGCTCGTCGTTTAAAGACACATCCCAAAACGACCACCTGTGACCTAAAACGACATTGGTAAGATTCGAACCAGGGACTTATCGGTCGCATCCAAAAACGTACTCAGCTGGTATTCCGCCACCATCCAAAACCCAGACAGGCCAGACGGCGTCGAAAATGGTATGTCATCATGGGGATGCCTTTGGCCGCATCCATCAAACCGCCACTTTTAACGGATTAGGCTTCGATCCCTGGACAACAAACTTTCAGGCCAGATCTTTTGGCGACAGTTCGATTACCAGTCCCGATCAACGCCGACCTTGCATTGCCACGCCCCTGCCTCGTGTGGCACTGAACGGCACTGAACGATAAGAGCAGCGGGGGAGGCACGGGAGAGGGTAACATTTAGCGGCTGGTGGGAGAGGAGAGGACAGCCCATAACAGCTTCATGGCTGTCTTCCACGGGCGCCGGTTCAGCACCAGTACGCTGCTTTCGTCAAACTACGAACATACACACCTTCCTCTCTGGACAGAAAATCTCCACCCGAATTTGCCTCCAGCTGCCAGATGCACCACAAGGGGGTAGGAGGGATCGAATCCTCAAATTTGGTTCTGGTCATGGACAGGCCCAAGCCTCTGTTCTTCGGTTCTGGTCGTGAACGGGTCAAGCCTCAGTTCTTCACTTGCGGACCCCTGGTTGCCTTCTCCGCCGCTGCGCATTTTGTTCCAAACCCGACCCAGCAACCCTACGAATGGGTGTATGTTCCGGTCCACTCTGTGGTGGTTCGAATCCTGGTGTTGTGTCTGGTGATTTCCCCTTACCAAAAGTTGTTTTACCTTTCTCGAATTTAAAGACGTAGGTACCTAGACCGTTATCGTCTTCGTCAGTTTGATCGATCCGTATCAGAGCCCGACCGTTGCGGTTTGTGATGTCCAGGTCTGTATCACGAATCTGATTGGCAGTCATGACCACCGTGGGAAACGTCTGGACTCTCGGCAGAGTCAGGCCGGGATAGCGGCCGGCAGGTTTTCCCACCCGACCGCAGAAGTACGTCAGTAGGCCCCCATTCTCTCCTATAACGGCGAAATGTTTCGCACTCCAGCCACAACGCAGCGCGTTTACTAAGAGCCTTTGATCCGCCTTGAGAGTCGCTGTTGACCCGGACACGTTGAACATCAGATGCGCCAATAAGCCACCCAGTCTCGGTTGTCGACCACTTGCTATGCCTCTCACCATCGAAATATTTGCTGTCCCAAAAATCACAGCGATCGTTCCGTTTCAAAATACACCCACAAACTATCCTACGACGAGTCTAAACACTAAGCATCAGATTGCGAATGAAGGTATTAGGGGAGTGGGAGACTGGACCTCTCAAAGTCGGTTGTTGTCGTAGAAAGGCTCAAGACTCTGTTCTTCGCTTGCGGATCCCTGGGCGGATCCCTGGGCGTCTCCTCTGGCGTTGCGCATTTTGTTCCAGACCCGACCCAGTGTCTTCTTCCACTTCACACCCTGCCCCCGTCGGCCCACCGTATGCGGGTTGGATACCGCCGGCCCGCTCTCTGGTTCGGATTCCGGCCCACTCTCTGGTTCGGATTCCGGCCCACGCTCTAATACCGATGAGCAACAAACATATCCGTCGAAAGTAAAGAGGTAAGTACCCAGACCATCATCGTCTTCGTCTATTTGATCAATCTGTACCAGAGCCTGGTAGTCGCGGTTTACGATGTGCAGGTTTGTATCACGGATCTGACTACCAGTCATGACCACCTTGGGTAACGTCTTGACTCTCGGGAGATTCAGGTTCGGGTAGTGACCGGCAGGAAGTTCTTTTAGACCGCGGAAAAGCACCGTGATTTTGCCCTCCATGCTCACCACTCCGGTATAATTCGAATCCCAGCCGTATCGCAGCACGTCCAAGAGGAACGTATGGTCCGCCTTGAGCGTCGCAAATGGCCCGCGCATCCCGAAGATCATATGCGCCAGCAAGCCATCCACTCTCCGTCGTTGTCTGCCACTTGCTACGCCTTTTGTCATCCAATTATTTACACGGCAAATGCTTGCTCAAAAATCAAGCCGTTCCGAACAACCACGGCTGGACGACGCCGACAACACCTTTACGAAATGGCTCCACCCTGCTACCCTGTGTGGGTTGCTACCCTGTGTGGGTTGCCGACCTCACGGATTTACATACCGACTTTGCGTTGTAACCATCACGGAAAAGCCCACCTTGAAAACACGTATTTTTGTGCTCGAGAATCTGGCACGAAGGGGGCATCAAACGCGAAACACCGACAAAGCACTCTACGACACAATAGCAGATCGATCCCGCTGTTTGGTACCGCTGCTTGAGAGCGGTGGAAAAATTCGGGTGTCATGACATCACGCGTGATTGTATTGGGTTGCGGAACAAGTTCCGGTCTCCCGTTATTGAGCCACGTGATCCATCCCGGCATGTGTCAGTAAGGACCCCTTTCTACCCCATTGGGGCCTGACCTCGACCACTTGACTTTCCCCCCAAAGACCACCTGGCTTTCCCCCCAAAGACCACTTGACTTTCCCCCCAAAGACCACCTGACTTTCCCCCCAAAGACCACCTGGCTTTCCCCCCAAAGACCACCTGGCTTTCCGCCCCTTTCCTAAGCCAGAAGACTCGGCAAAAGAGACTCGGCAAAAGAGACTCGGCAAAAGAGGCACGGATGTTGTTGTAGGATATGTACCGAAGCCCTGCGGAACCACGAGAGCCCGAATCGTCGCAATAATGTGAGTATTTTGGTCCAGTGTCGCGACTACAGAGGCCAGCTCCGAAACGTGCAAGTCGACGTTGGCAAGACCTTCCGTGATGCCTCGCTCCGCTGGTACCCAACATACGGTATAACCCGGATAGATTGCGTTCTACTTACACACCACCATTCAGACGCCGTCGGCGGGCTGGACGACCTACGAGACATACAGACATACCAGAAATTCCAAGAGCCTGACTTAAAGGGGTCTGACTTAAAGGGGTCTGACTTGAAGGGGTCTGACTTAAAGGGGTCTGACTTGAAGGGGTCTGACCTGAAGGGGTCTGACCCGAAGGGGTCTGACTTGAAGGGGTCTGACTTGAAGGGGTCTGACCTGAAGGGATCTGACCTGAAGGGGTCTGACCCGAAGGGGTCTGACCCGAAGGGGTCTGACCCGAAGGGGTCTGACCCGAAGGGGTCTGGGCCAGAGCCGGAAGGAGGGCACAGAAGAATCACTTACAAGGCCACGGACAAAATCCCGTTCCTGATGTCCAGAGCAACGTTGAGTGCGTTGCAGGATTCACATGGCTACATTTTCAAGGCGAGTATTTCCGCCGACCCGGTCGCTCGTAAGGTGGCAATGATTGACGTCCAGACATTCGAAGACTGTGTCGAAGACTCCTCCACTCCAGGAACTGACCCGGGGTTGGTCCACGGTTCTTTCGTGTTGTTTGGCACCACGCGGGTCACCCTTCTGCCGTGCTACCACGGTGGTGCTTATGTTTGCCACGGGTTTGCATTCGGTGAGGGGGAGGACAGAGTAGTGTACCTGAGCGACGTCAGCACCATTCCCACCACGACCCTACAGCTAATTGATTCATTCGTTCCCTTTAAAGTATGTACCCGGCACCGAATATGTGAGTGCACCGCATCCGTGTGCAACACCCATGTGTGTGCAACACCCATGTGTGTGCACCACCTCCAACCAGCCCACGTCGACATGGCAACCGTCCTTGCGCAGATCTTGCTTATCGACGGATTATTCCAGACAGTGCCGCACTTCGCACACTTCTCCATCCGAGAGGCGATCTTCTTCGCAAACGTAAGATCACCCCGCGAACTCCAATGGGCTTCCAGCCCCCCAATGGGAGGATGCCAGCGCGAACGCGAGCAACCACACCCTCTGGGTACTTCCTGTGACCACTCACGTCGAGTACATGCTTTCACCCATCGGCAGAGACAGACCTCGACAGAGACAGACCTCGACAGAGACAGACCTCGACAGAGACAGACCTCGACAAAGACACCCCTCAACACACCTTCGTGGGCACACGCACGTTTCCGCACACATTCGTCCCCGCTCACATTGATCTATGCCGCAGCGTTGGAAGCCCTTGCACTGCTACGTGGTTGGCATGTCTTGCGAGGTCGACTACAACGACCAGCGCGCGATGTTCGCGAAACTGCTGAAGCAGAACGCCGACTTCTCGCGCATTCGGTACCCGGCGCTGCCGCAGAGCCAGGCCCGCAGGACGCGCTCTCGACGCACCCAGTTCTCGGTCGCGAAGGACGGCCTCGTCATTCCAGTAGAACGGCTTCCGGATACCGGCGGTTAGGAATGCACGGGATCCACGCACGGTCCGAGGGCGCATACGTTATTCCAAAGTCGCTCTCGTCGCCAGACGACGATGACGATGACGACACACTAGTCAGAAAACGCATTGGCAGAAAGCACGTTGGCAGCAGGGAGCTAACGTGGGAGGAGCTAGCTCGGGATCAGCGCTTACCTATTACTACTAGATACTAAGTCGTCATCCGGGGGCGGGTCTTCTCTTTCGTATTCGTAAACCTGGACCTCATTCCGAAAACGGACGTGAGTACCTTGTGGCTGGTTGTCAGCAGTAGGCAGCTGCTCGCCCGCCGCGGGGAAATGCGTTACAACCGTATTGCAGGCCCTTCTCGTGCAGTCGCCGCCCATGGCGTCGTAGGGTCGCGGCGAGTACCGCCGCCTCTCACAACTATTTCTGAATGAACGTGGGGAGGGGTCCAAGGGCGCCTTGCCCCTGGAGGGTGGCGAGGACGTTATGGAGGGCGAGGGCGCTTTCATTCAGAAAGCACACGTGTGTGCGCACGCCTTTCGGGACCTTCGGGCTGTGTGTAGTTACGATAGGTCGGCGGAGCCCTGTTGCTTTATAGCTGGGATGTACATGAGTTCATGGGCGAAAAATTAATGGGTGCAGATCTGGACAGTGCCCCCCCAACGACCGCGGCGCCGCAGCATCGGCGGCACGTTAAGTTCCACCGTGAGGACCTGAAGGCGAAGTTCTCCATTCGGCTCCACCACAACAGAAGCAAGGAAGGTAGCAAGGAGACAGATCAGCACAGCGCCCGGCTAGGCAGCGCGACGTCTAGCGTCACTGCCCTATCCAGCGCTAGTGCGACGTCTAGTGTCGGCGCGACATCTAGTGTCAGCGGCGGGTCTAGCGGCAGCGACAAAGCGGCTGCCAGTGAAAGAGAGCGTAGGTGGTACAAGAGGATATTCCACCGACATAGTGCAGACGAGTATGACGCCATTGACGAAGACGAAGAAGAGCTTCGTGTAGTTAGTAGAAGTGTAAGCGAGCAGACCGAAGTTAGTTCCTTGGCCGGCAGCGAATTGGCTAAGTACGTGCCAGAGCAGGGTCCCGACGGCAAAATGTCCGTGGTGCGGGGCCGGACTCCGCTGGGTCGGACTCCGGCGGGACGGACGCCCGGCAGCCAGCGACGTCAAGCCGGCGCCAAGACGCCGCAACGCGCGTCCTCTATGGTCAGCTGCTCGACCGCCAGTCGTCGCGCAGTCTACAAAACGAGACTGGACCACGCGTTGAGAAAGGCGCACCTAAAGCAGCAGTACTTTGTTCAACAGAACACGCGCTGCGGAGACGATGACGATCTAGACTATGACGGCTTTATGTTCCGACCCGACGCGGAGGATCACGCCAAGGTCAAATCTCACCATCACTTCCGGTCGATTTTGCAGGAAGCCAAAGAGAATCGGAGTGGGCACCGAACGGGGTAAATAACTCTCTTGGCGCACACACGTGTGTGCAAACGGCGCAATTTGACGATCTGATACAGGAATGGGCTGTGTTTCACGTTTGAGGAGGGGCTTTCCTATTTGAGGAGCTCAACACCTCGGGTCTATCGCATTTCACACAGTCAGCGACCCTCGACCGATGAAGGCTCAGCCGTCCTCTACGAAATAAGCCGGCCACGGGACTGATGCACGGTCCTCGGCGGGACTAGCTCCCTTCCTCGGGTTTGAGTCCGCTGACGGTGCTGTCCCTGTTGTTGGGCTTATATCTGGGCGATATTGAGAAAGGTGAGGGTAGGGTGTTGAGGGGATAATAATTCTTTTTTGGGATGATTCAGAAGGTGTCCACCAAGCTCAGCACTTGGACACTGCAGGAGTGCAAGTTGTGGGCGGATACCCTGAACACGCCTTGTGGGGCATTCAAAATAGCCTTCAAGAAGCGCAGCTATCACGTTGTAACTTCAATAGAGCTTCTGCCTCCGGTTTTGCATGCGAGCGAGCAATTCCCATGGTAAGTCCTCGATCATGAAAGTCGCAACGACGGACCATCACATCATGGCAGTACTCACTTACGGTTGAGGTTCCACTAGGTCCAGGTTCCACTAGGTCCAGGTTCCACTAGGTCCAGGTTCCACTAGGTCCAGGTTCCACTAGGTCCAGGTTCCACTAGGTCCAATTCGCGGCTATACTCGCCCCTACTGGATACTGACGGCGGACACGTTACGTTGAAATCTGAATGTCGCTGTAGGATTCTGCCTAATGTCAATATTGGCATCCGATTATGTGATCAGTCCCCCATGTTTTGTTGCTGGTCCTTTCTGACCAGCTCCCGGATCAAGGTGTGGTCGAAAGAAATAATCACCACCGGGGAATTAGCAAGACTGTTCAAGGCGAAGAAAACTGTGGATCTTGAGGTTACTTTGGATATTCCATCCCGAAATATACTCCTCTTTAATACCATATATACTCATAACGTTTCCATACATACCCCAGCTGTTTATCGGGCTATTCATAGAGCTGTATATGTAAGATCACATACCCGTGTTCCTTTCCTTTCCTTTCCTTTATGACACGTAGTCTGATCCTAGTCCTTTACCATAAGATTAGATGCTCTTTAGTATTTATACTCCGCGTCCAGCTTCTATGCTGAGCTGCTGAATCATGAGGAAGAACTAACTTCGTTAATTCTCGACAATTTCGAGAGCATTAGGAATACAAGGACGTCAGTTGCTTATTTAAACCTGCTGTCGTACCTGAGCCAAAATAGTAAAAGCCCCTTGACCACCACACGACGGATGGTTGACCCCACCACGGATGGTTGACCACACGACGGATGGTTGACCACACGACGGATGGTTGACCACACGACGGATGGTTGACCACACGACGGATGGTTGACCACACGACGGATGGTTGACCACACGACGGATGGTTGACCACACGACGGACGATTGACCTCGGATGACCAGTTCTTCCTTCACATACCTTTCGACCTGATTCTCCCGACCGCACTTCGCTCCGCTCCGCTAGTCCTTCCCTCACTGTCCAGATATTGATGTTTTTTGTAGTTCCGGAGTTGTTCGAAATGGAGGTGAATGAGATTGTTTTGATACTGTTGAGTCGGGTTGTCTCTCAGATTAAGGGGCTCATTACTTCTCTCAATTGGGAAGGGGACACCACCATGTTGGGCGGGGTTTTGAAGAGTTGTAGAGGACCGCAGTTGGTGATGTTGAAGCTGAATGAAGAAAGTGCCCACTTGAAAACACTCGCGGCAGTTGCTACCATTGATGTCCCGCGGGACGTGGTTATCCCTCCGAATCCGACGGGCGGTGGTTCGAGCGTTACAAGCGGTCGCAGCACCGAGTTGGGCATCCCGTTATCAGGTAGCCCGTTATCAGGTAGCCCGTCTCGCTCGATGAGCGCAGATATGCGGGCGCCAAGTGGGTCTTGGAAGATGGGGCGTGGCTCACGGCACTATCGCGCGATCGCCTTAGGATTTCAGGCTGGACGGCATGAATTTACGACTATCCGAGCGTCGGATGAGGAATGGCTGAAAGTCACGGACCACGGTGAGGAAAGTCTCGAAGACAACGGCGTGATTGCGTGCCACAAAGGTTTGTTGCCCAAGTTCATTTTGTACGCCGCCGTTGCGCCGTTCACGACCGCTACGTCCGGCTCCAACGGCTGGGGAACCGGGACGCCCAGCACGACCTGGTCAGTAGGCGACGAGGCCCGGCCCAAGGACCCCTCCGCCACGGTCGACTCTGTATGCGCTACCAGACCGCAAGGGCGCGCGGAAGGGCGGGCCGAAGACAACGCCCTTCGACCTGGCTTTCTTCGATCGGAAGGGACCCGCCGGGCGGACTACTACCCGGATCACCGGGCAGACCCCCGGGCAGACCACTGGACGGAGTACCGGACGGAGTACCGGGCAGAAAAGACTGTGGCGACGGACGGACGGTTGGTTGCGATGAGTAGCGGCGAGAAACAGTTGTTGAGTCCGGTCTTCGATTGGGTTTCGCACATTCCAGCGGACCCGCCCATGGGGTTGCTGTATTGCATCATCCCATGGCGTAGTCAGACGAAGGAGGACGCGCTCGCGATCCGTCGGATCATCCTCGACCGTGAACGCCGACTACCGGCTAACCAGGTCTGGTTCAATCTCGCCTCGCTCAACTACAAACACCTCGGCTATCAAGGCCTGCTCTGGGCAGACGCCTTCGCAGCCGCTTCCGACTTCCGCAATCACGCCTCGGATGAATCGGGCGCCGAAGATGGCACCGGTCTCGACATCGGTCCTGACCTCGATACCGACCACAATCCCGGTGCCCGGAATAATGCCCTAGACGGCGGTGCCCTAGACGGCGGTGCCCTAGACGGCGGTGCCCTGAATAATGTGCAGGACGCAGGCTCGGACGCCTCGGAGAAAGACGGACGCATGCGGATGAAGCGCAACTGCCTTGTGCAGCCATTAACCGCGGCGACCCTCGGCGGCAAACGCAGGCGGCTGCCCTCTGAGTGCGTCGGACGTGAAGCAGTGGACCGCAGTAGCGAGGCACTCCTCGTTTCGCGCTATTGCATTTCGAACATGCTCCACAAAGCATTCGTCCCGCTGCCTTTCGGTGGACCCCGTTTCGTGACCAAGGAAAAAATCCAAGGCGCGAAGGAAGGGACGAAGGAGGGGACAAAGGAGGGAACGAACGCGTCCCCAGCTGTCGCTACCCCCTCCGGGCGCAGTACAGCCGCTGGATTAGGTTCCCTGCCCCCGGGCAAGAAGGCGAGCCGTAAGGCTTATCCGTGCTGCATGGTCACCACTTCGATCCGCATGTACCTAGAGTTTGATCCCGTGCTAGGGTATGACTTAGAGGTTCCGGAAGCCCTGACTTCACTCGAGCTGAAGCAGCGGTTGGAAGAATTGTTCGGCGAGCTCTGTGAGAGGCGCACGGAGTGGTGGAGCGCTGCGCCCAAGTCGCTTCCAGGCGCCTTGAATCCTGGGGTTCTCGTGCCAGGCTTGGGCGGCAACGGCGTCGGTCGCCCTGCCCCGGTTAGCCTAAGCGGCTCTGCCCTGGACAGCCCGGTCTCGAACAGCCCGGTCCCGGACAGCCCCGTTCTTCTCGACGGACCGGTCCCTGAGGGGCCGGTCCCGAAGGGACCGGGACCTGGTTCTGTGTTGGCACTGTGGAAGCGGCACGGGTGCACGTGGCGCCAATTGCCGTTGACGGGGGATCGTTCATTGGCCAGCTTATTGAGTGGTGGCGGGCGTGACGTGTTGGTAACGATGACGGAGCGGAAGCCGAATGTGGCGGAGACGTTGTTAGACGTGTACTGGACTGACTGCCGCACCTTCGTGCCGCGGCACGTGGGACTGGTGTCGAGTCTAAACAGTATGCGCGTGTCGGATGTGTACGAGCTTGTGGTGGTGCCACGTGTAGACGCACGTGCTCTAGGCAACACCGGCTGGTGCTGTACAACCAGCGAAGGCCAACTGGTTCTAGATACCTCCGTCATCCGCAAGCTGCGCGTCTCACAGGGCGCTCTCGTCTTCTCAAATTGTGTCCCGCTGCCGCGTCGTCGTCGTCTCCACCTTGAACGCAAGGCCCGTCTCCACGCGAATCAAAAGCTTCTGTATAAAAGCACCGGCCTCCATCACAGACGCACCGACTCCGGGGCTGTACCAGCTGGTGGCGGCGGAAGCGGCGGCACGCCCAGACTTCGAGCCAAAACTGGAAGTGGGACTGGAGCTGGGACTGGAAACATCACGGGCGGGAGGGAAGCCACGACGGCAGCTGGCGGTGGGACTGAGTCCGGTGCCGCGGGCTCAGCTAGTTCGGGATCGGTATCGGTGAAGATGGAGGTGGCTAAAGGTCGACGTGCGCGCGGAGAACGTGTGCGACTGGGAACGGAGTCCCGAACGCGCAGTAACCGTGCGTCGGAGTCTTCGAGCGCTCGAGGCGCTGGTGGTGAGACAAGGCGTCAGTTTGAAGTGGTCTGGCAGGAGTTTACGACGAAACAGAATTCTGCGGCCGTGGAGAAATTGCCGTGGTTGATTAAACACAATAAGCTGCGAGCAGTCAAATGTCTGGATCAAATCAAAGTCGGCGAAGACAATGCTAGGGACGTATGCAGACTCATTGCAGCCTCCGCTGAAAGCCTCCTATCAACTATGCGCCAAACTAGATCCAGTCGTCGCAGTACCCTATCCTCAATGACTGTTGCTGATGCTCTTATACATAAACTTAGATACTTCCTCCTTACCTCCAGCCTCAAAGCAAATGGACCGCTTTGCGAACTGGTCTACGACTCACTGAACATTCTAGATGTCTGCGAACATAACGGCGGAGTTTTTCCCGCCTTCAACATCTGAACGCCTTCGTTACCCAGGTAGGAATGGAGGAGGGGATTTAATCGGGGGGACCGGGCAATTTGATCAAGCAGGGATCGGGTGGGGGAATTTGATCAAGTGGAGGGTGTGGGGGTCTGTGATCACGCGTACAATGCTCAGAGGGGGTAGAGATAAAAAATGCGTGTGTTCGTCGGTGGCCGTGACACGTGGCGATGGTCTAGGTTGTTATTGTTGGCGGCGCCTGCGACAGTGGCAACGACGCCGACGACGACGACGACGCCGCCGACGACGACGCCGCCGACGACGACGACGACGACGACGACGACGCCGAGTCCGTTGCGTTGGATAAGTGCCTATTGGGATCGTCTGGGGCGTGAGGATTTCGAGTTGGTTCGGCCGTTGGTGGAGCGGCATCGTTTGGAAACATTGATCCCTTCGGCGCCGCGTCATCCGGCGCGTGTTCATACGGGGCACGTTCGGCGGAAGCTGTTGATGTTCGCTGCCGCAGGATGGCACGTGGTGAGTGACGATCGGTGTAGTCAGCCGCTGTACGTGCCGGCGATTGCGCGGAAGACGGAGTTGGCGGCGCAAATCGAGAAGATGCATACGTGTCTGACGTCGCACTCGTGTGTGCTGCGAGACGATTTCGAGGCGTACCGGCGATTGCACGGCTCGCTATCGGAGGCGCAGTGGAAGAAGCTTAAGACGACGGAGCTGAGTTGCTTCGAGCGTTGCCCGCTCGCTTATGTAGAGCTGGCTGCGGTCATCTCGCTCTTCTACAAGTTTCCCTACGGACTACTAAGCCCCATCTCAAGACGGCACGTATCCCAACGACTGAAACTAGGACCCAAGTCTGTCCGCTTTGAACGCTGGGTTACGGGTTGTCTTCTGCAGCGGTCCGGTGCATCCATCGAAGACCTCGCCACCTTCTGTGCGAGCAAACTCCATTACAACCCACGTTGGACAGAGTATGGATCCCATTTGCTCGAGTGCGTCAAGAAGACCAGAACAACTTTCGATGATTACTGGCGAAAAGGAGACTCCTGCTGGCCACCGGATGACCCGCGCCGGATCGAACTCCTTCTGCTTTTAAACAAAAGAATTGCCGCACTACCCACCATCACCGCCGCAGATTTCGGCACCCTCACGCAACAGATGCTAGACGACCAATTCGCAACACAACACTGCACTCAAGACACGTCCATGCAGGAGATAGACATGCCTATGGAATGCCAAACGGCCAGCCAGCCCGGTCTCGCGAACGCGGAGCCGAGAGGTAAGTCTTCTCGGTTTGGTAAGTTTCCGACGAACAAGTCTCCAGTCATCCATGTCGAACCGAGCAGTGAGGTGGACCCAGCGGTGAGTGAAGTGGAGACGGAGTGGTTGGCTGCGTACTGGGAGCCGTTGAGTCAGGCGCGGTTCGATGCGTTGAAAAGTGTGGCACATCTGGGCCCGGAGCGGCTGCGTATACGGTGGTCGTTGTGTGGACCGTTAGTGCGTCCGATACTGGATCGGCGGTGGACCTTGACATCTACAAGGTGTAGTCGCGCTCTGTACATTCCGAGCCTCGCGCATCAGCGGGCATCAGTGCATAAGTTGTTTGGTAGTGAATTCGCCGCATATTTGGTGTTGTACGGTTCGATACCGTCTTTATGTTGGGCACAATTCCGTTCAATTGAACCGCATCATTTCGTGAAATGTTCTATATCTTATGTCGCATTGGCTGAGGTCGTGTGCACCTTCTTCCAAGCCCCATATGGCCTGATCGACAACTACTTACATCTCCCACTATCCAAGTCCTTCCCTTCGAAAAACTTTCCACTCAAAACCATCCGCGGACAACCTCTCGTTTGGGAAACAGCTTGCCTTCTTCAGTACTCCCAAACACCTCCACAACAATTGCTATACTTTTGTACTACACTCCTTAATCACGCTGCCGCCAACGCCGCCTGTAATGGCAACGACGACGAAGCCAAAAAGTGGCTTCGCCGACTCACCAAACTACGACAGAAAGTGCAACTCACGCTTACTCTCTCAGCGAACAAATTCTGCCCCATCACGCAAGACCACTGCTGGGCCTCCGACCGCACGCTGGAGCGCTACCAGGCGAAGAACCAGAACATCGACCACAACGACCAAAACATTCAAGAGACCTATCCCAGTCAAGAGACCTATCCCAGTCAAGAGACCTATCCCAGTCAAGAGACTTATCTCAGTGAAGAGACCCATCCCAGTCAAGAGACCTATCCCAGTCAAGAGACCTATCCCAGTCAAGAGACCTGCTTGCAGTCCGATGCGCAGAAAGCGACTATGGAGTGGGAGGACCAGATTCGGTCTCTGTGGGAAACGAATGCGGGGGTAATATCGCAGTGTCTGGACATTCTATGTGAACAAGGTAGTGCAATGAATGTGGGATGGGGGGGTCCGTCTTGAGGGCATTTTGTTTAGTGGATGGCTAGTTCATTAGGCGGGCGGGCGGGTGGGCTCGGGAGGACGCCGAGAATTTTAAAGGCGGAGTGTAGGATGCAGAGTGCGGCCAGCAGAAGCAGGCCCCAGTGGGTGAGTGTCTGGTGGGCCATGTTGCCGAAAACGGGACCCGCCTCGCAGTGGAGTGACCAAGTGGAGAGTGACGAAGTGATGAGTGGTGGGCCGGAGTGTGCTCAAGGGTTGCGAGTGATGGAGCGTGTTGTACCAAGAGCGGAGCACGTTATGCGTCGACCGGGTTGCTCGACTTGTTGGGCGAGTAATTTTTGGAAGCCGTTGGAACAGCGTAGTTACGAAACGGTTCGATCGGAAGTGTCGACTGGGCGATCGGTATTTCGTTACAGGCTGGGCAAGTTTGTGGATCGTCTGGACTACGCGGCAGCGCAGTGTGGTTTCGAGCCGAGTGAGTGGTCGATGGCGGGCACGGTGCCGGTGTATGTGCCGACGTTGCCTGTGGTCTCGCCATTTGCCCATTGCGTCCCGACAACGCCTCCATTGCGGCGGGCCAGGGGCACGGGGCCGCTGTTGCCCGCTCCTGTTGTAGTAGACTCGTCCACGAAGCCGGTAGTAGAATCTGAAGATGCGTTCGGTGCGTACCGGGTGTTGCACAGTTCGTTGTTACAGGAGGAGTGGAAGGCAATGCGGTCGGCACGGAGCGTCGACTTTTGCAAGTGTGCGTTGGCGTACATTGAGCTAGGTGCAATCACGTGTCTCTACTTCGACGTGCCATACGGATCGGTGGACCGAGCACTGGTGCGAGAACTGGCCGCGGTCCTCAAGGTCACGACGGCGTCCTGGAAACTACGTTGGTGGATTACAGGGTGTTTGTTACAACACGCGCGTGTGCCAGTGGACAGACTGGCGAAGTTTTGTGCGCTTCAACTGCGCTTCAATGCAACCACTAGACACCCGAACGCGCTCGAATGTTTGGCCAAACGACCGCTGCAGGCCAACTCACACGGTGCACGCCCCTTCATGGATGGCGCTGGCCGCTACGCCGCACTACGCCGAAAACTCCACAACCTACGGGCCATCTCACTCGCGGAGTTCCGAGACTTCGATCAAGACATACTAGACGCACAAGCCGGCAAGGGCCCCCTCATTCTCGAACTACGCTGGGCCCCAGAGTTCTGGCGCCCACTCAACCGACACGACTTCGACCTGCTTGCACCCATCGCCGGTGAATCACCCGCCCTCAGACGACGCCACTGGAAAACCCTCCTCCCAAGATTACACCCACACCTCCTAGATTGGAGTCGATGCCCAGCCGACGCCGCACGAGGGACCACCGCCAAAGCCGAACGAGTCCTCTCTGGCACCCACTATATACCCGGACTGAGTAAACTCACCGCACTCGGTTCTAACCTCTACACCGCTTTCGCAACCGAAACCAAGACCGAAAACGCCAAGAAGACAAGAGACGAGACAGAGGCGGACGCACGGTTTGAGGCATACCGGGCGTTACTGGACGCGCTGTCGGAGACGCAATGGAACACGCTGCGCTCAGTGGACCCAAGTTGTTTCACCAAGTGTTCGCTCTCATATGTCGAACTCGCGGCAGTGATATCGCTCTATTTCGAAGCGCCGTTTGGACTCGTTGAAGGGAACCTCGGAAAGTGGATCGACCAGCGCCTCGGCGGCCCTCGTACCAGCCAAAGCCGGCGATGTCGGAGCCGGCTTTGGGTCGCCGGGTGTTTGTTACAACACACACGTGTACCGCCTCTCGAACTCGCCGCCTTCTGCGCCTATCGATTGCACTATAACCCGCTCTGGACCCGCACCTGGCCGGGACTGCTCGAATGTGTGAAGAAGACGCAACCTCGCCTCGAAGAGTACTGGCTGCCTGGCGACGACGCCGCTGCCGGAGTCTTCGAACTTCTAAAAAAGAGACTCGCAGACCTACCTACTGTCACCATCGACGAATTCGACACCCTCACCCAAGCGACGCTGGACCGCAGACTCAGAGAGACCATGACCAAGGCAGACGATCAGACGGCCAGGGGTGATGGGAACGACAGTTCTGACAAAATTGAGCTCGCCGCGGAGGGTACGGAGCGCGAGAGTCGCGAGCTTGGACCCAGAGTGTCTACGTGGGAGGCGGAGTGGGTACGCAGTTACTGGACAAAGTTAGACCGGGAGAAGTTTGCCGCGCTGCGGGCAAGAATAAGTTGGGGTCCACGAGCAGCTCGATGTCGATGGGTGGCGCGGCGGTCAGAGTTTGCAGCGTGCGTGGATCGCAGCTGGACGATGGCTTACCCGGATAAGGCGATGCTGGCACGTCCGCTGTACATCCCGACGCTGGGCGGCCCTGCGGCGGCGTCGCCTTGGCTGGGAGTGGGACCAACTGAGTACGCGGCGTACGGAGCCGTACACGCGGCACTGCCGGAGCAGGCGTGGGCGCAACTGCGCGCCGTCGAGCTGTGTCACTTTACGCACTGCGCCGTGCCGTACGTCGCGCTCGCCGAGGTCCTTTGCGACGCGCTGTCCGCGCCCTTCGGCCTTCTCGACCGCAGCGCGCATATGCAGCCGCCGCTCGACGCAGTAACCCAATACGCCGACCGCACCATCTGGGAAACCGCCTGTCTCCTCCAACACGCCCACGCCAGCTTGACCGTCCTTTACGACCTTTGCGCCGAGATTCTCACCTCGGCACACACACCTGCGACAAAAAACGCGACCCACGACGACGCGACTCACGACGACGCAACTCACGACGACGCGACTCACGCCGACGCGGCCCACGACGACGCCACCTGCGACGACGCCACCCGCGACTGCGCGCCTGACTGCAGCGCGCCCGGCCGCAGCTGTGCAGGCGCCCGCCAACAACTCGTCCGAAAACGGTTCGCGCGGCTAAAGGCCGATTTAGACTCCACCGAAATCCTCTCCGTCGCGGAGTTCAACGCCAGACGTGAACCCGAGCGAACCAAGCAACGCGGGACGGGGAAACGCGGGACGGGGAAACGCGGGACGGGGAAACGCGGGACGAAGGTTCGGACTTGCCCTGAGGTCGCTGAACAACGAATTCCTACAAATTTAACTGCTACGGTAAGGAGGCAGAGGCGTACCGTGAACGCTAAGATAGTGGTCGCGAGAAACCTATTGAACGAGAAAAGGAAAGCTCTATGGGGCGAGGGCCACATTCCGGTGGTAGAACACATTCCGGTGGTGGACCACGAGCCCGTAGTGGACCACGAGCCGTTGTTCAAGAAGCACAAAATGTCTAGTTACGGAAGTCAGTTGGGTCGCGATTCGTCGTTCCGAGAGAGCCTGTTGTGGGAGAGTCAGATTCGGTCGGTTTGGGAGGAGCATGCACCGGTGATATCCCAGTGCTTAGATCTCCTGTGCATTGGCCCGCTGAACCTTGCTGACAGGGAAGGAATCGTGCGGGCGATTGCATGAGTGACCCCGAACACGATTTCTTGGACCAATTCGCGGTCGAATGGTGGTTCTTTCGCCGCGGTCGACTCAACCTCGAGAAAGGTTTATTAAGATATGAAACTGAGTGGGGTGTCTCTTTTTAGTTATTATTGTTCTGTCAGTAACCATGTATGCCAGTTCAAGCCTCTCACACCCGTTCAGGCCCTCCAGACCGTTTCGGCAATCATACTTACCCACCTTTGTTTTGTACGTGAACTGGTTGTGTGGGCACGAGTAGTGTTGTCGGAACTTGGACTTAAAAGCACCGAATAATTTAGTCTCGCGGGACAGAGTATGAGGCTTGTGCAGAGCAATCAGAGGAGGGTGTTGCGGTGGAGATGTTTCGGACTGGCGATGTGGTCAAGCGAGTCCCAGATAACTGAGTCCCAGATAACTGAGTCCCAGATAACTGAGTCCCAGATAACTGAGTCCCAGATAACTGAGTCCCAGATAACTGAGTCCCGCGTTCCGGAATTCCAGATGGCTGGGTCTCAGGTGGTTGGGTCCCAGTTAGTTGAGTCTCAGGTGGTTGAGCCTCATGTGTTTGAGTCCCATCCCTGTGCATGGAAGCCCGGAAAGTCGCGGTGCTGTGGTTCGTCTTGGACGGGACACTTTTGGAAACAGTTGGAGCCGGAGCATTACCGTGCGTTGAGGGCCATCTTTACGTCGCGTTCTTTTTTCTCTGAGTTCTCCACGGAGTTCCATATGGCGGCTGTCAACTGCGGCTTCAACCATCGAGAGTGGAGCCTGTTTGAAGGCCGACCGGTGTATTTGCCAATGGCCGGAAGGTTGACCCGCTTTGGTAATGAGATATGGTGTCCAAACCGGGAGTCCGAGACCATACCCGGGAGCCCGAAGAAGAGTGCGGCGGCAACAAGAACGCGTGATTTTGAAGCATATCGGGCGTTGCACGGATCCCTGTCTGAAAGTGAATGGAAGCGGATGAGGTCAGTTGATTTGCCGAGCTTCGAGAGATGCAATTTGGCATACGTGGAGTTAGCTGCAACCATTTCATTAGTCTTCGAGGCGCCTTACGGCACATTGGATCAGGCTATGTTGGATAATGTTGCTACAATGCTCCGACATGGCCGCCGCAACCCTAAAGTACCCTTTTGGGTAAGTGGATGTTTGTTGCAACATTGTGGTGTAACACTAGAACGTTTGGTGGAGTTCTGCGTGAGAGATTTGAAGTACCGGTCAGCTTGGACCCCCGAACGTCCGTGTCAATTTGAATGCATGCGGACGCAAGCGCCTCCTGTGGAGAAGTATCTTACAAGACCCTGTACGGGTCTGCGGGAGAAGCTGTTCAATAGACTAGCTGGATTGCCAACAGTGAGTGCAAGGGTGTTCGGTGGCATGACCAAAAAGACACTAGACGAACTGCTGACCGCAAAGCCAAATGGACCTGTCAACCCCACGACTAGGGCTTTACGATGGGCCATTGAGTACTGGCGGCAGCTGGACAAGGAGAACTACCATTTACTTTCTCAATTCGTCGGCGTGACACACGTAAGCCAACGACGGCATTGGAATAAACTCGTCCCTCGCTTAACGTCCCTGTCCCGATTCGAACCGCGGCAGTGGACTTACTGCCAAAGCAGTGATAAGACTAGCACTCCAGTCTACGTACCCACCCTCCCGGTCATGACGACCATGTCCAAAAACTTGGTGAGGGGACAACCTGGGAGTACGGAAGTTATGTTTGGTGGATACCGCAAGATTCACAGCGCGCTATCTGAAGCGCAGTGGAAGACTTTGAGGACTGTCGACGCGGCCAGCTTCAAAAAATGCCGCCTGGATTATGTCGAATTTGGCGCTATCATTTCCCTGTTCTTCGACACGCCTTTTGGGCTCGTTAACGAACATATCATGGAATCACTAACACCGATGTTCGACATTGCCAACAGGTATCAACATTTCCAGCACTGGATCACCGGGTGTTTGCTGCAACACACAGGCGTTTCCACACAAGATCTCGCTGTGTTTTGCGTGACTCAACTTAAGTACAACCCCCGTTGGGTCTTCGGGTCGCACCGGCTGCTGGAATGCTTGAAGAAGACCGAATGCAGACTGCCTCAGTATCGCGATGCCAAAATGTTGGGCCCCTCAGAATCAAATGTGCAGCAACTGGTCCTGGACTTGCTAAGCAAAAGGCTGTCGGGTCTGCCCACCGTTTCCCTGGAGGAGTTCGCTGCCTTGGACCAGGCGACGCTGGACCGCAAACTAGCGGCAGAGACCTCTTGGCTTTCTCCCTGGACGTCCCTTCAGACTTTCTCCGAGACATTGTTGGGGACATCCCCCAACACACCCCCGGAGGCGACTCTCGGAACACCCCCGGGGACGTCGTCCGAGACGTCCTCCAACACACCCTCCGAGACGCCGCCTCCCAAGACACCCTCCGAGACCTGTTGCTTGGCTGCCGATGCTCTTGCCCCGGTCCCGGTCCCTGCCCCGGTCCCTGCGGCGGTCCCCTCAGAAGTGGACATAGAGACAGAGTGGGCAGGTTTATACTGGGAGCGACTGAGCGCATCGCGGTTCGCGGCGTTGCCGAAGACACCGGCGGACACGGCACCGCATCGTTGGGTGATGCGGCGGGTGGCGACTGCGAGAATGGTGGATCGACGATGGACGTTGTTGTACGGATCGACGTACAACTTGTCGCGGCCATTGTACATTCCGACGTTGGGCTGTCCAAGCCGGTTAACGTTGAAAGGAGGTATTTTCGAAGACGAGTTCGCAGCGTACTGTGCATTGCATGAGTTACTACCGCGAGAAGTCTGGGCCCGTTTCCGAGGCATCGCGCAACCCGATCTTGCGCGTTGTTCCGGCGTCTATCTCGCACTCGCAGACGCTCTACATGTGTTCTTCGACGCTCCCTTCGGACTACTCGATGCCGCCGCTACCGAGTTTCCGGTCTGGGACACCGCGTGTTTGCTTCAACACACGAACGCACCCGTCGACCGCCTCTTCCAATTTGCCATGGACCTGTACACTCGCGCCCACGTCGCGGGACTTCCCGGTACAGACTGGGACGCACGTCGTGCACATCTATACAAAAGCCTCAACGACACACGCACCTTCTGCGCCGCCGACCTCTCTTTCAGCCAACGCGCTTTCCAACAGGACGAACCCGCAGAAGACCTGACAGGAAAAAGAACACAACAGAAAGGTCCGGATTTACTGGCCGACAAGACGGAATCGAAAGGAGCCAATCATGAAACTGACAAGCCCTCCAAGCGGAAACGGGGTAGACCGCGCCAGGAGGCGCCGGGCATGGACGAACCGCGATCGAGGAAGGGGAAGAAGGACGCAACCCGTCTGGACGCAACCCGTCTGGACGCAACCCGTCCGGACGCAACCCGTCTGGACGCAACCCGTCTGGACGCAACCCGTCTGGACGCAACCCGTCTGGACGCGACCAGCCAGGACCCCGCGGTGGAGGAGGGCCTCCCGATGGAGGAGCAGGTTCGGTCGGTGTGGGAGGAGTTCGCACCGATCATCTCACAATGTATGGATATCCTCCTACAAGAGGATATCCTTGCGCAGCAGTCCCAGTGAAGTGAGTGAGGCTTCAGATCGACTTTATAGTGTTCGTTTGATGCAGTGTGAGTAGGCATTCGATGAGTTCGGCGGCCGTGGTAGGAGCGCCGCGAATAATTCTTGGTCTCATGGCGGATCCGTACAGGACGGCGTACGGATGTTTGAGGTGCTGGGCGCACCAGGCGTCGAGTTGCGCGGTTAGCGGACCGACATCGGCTGCCACGTCGCACTTGTTCAAGAAGACACAAACCTTAATCGGCGTCACGAACTGCGCCGCTGCCTTCTCCAATTCCCCCAGCGCTTCGGTTAAACGGTCTGGGTCATTCGCGTCGATAACGTACAAAATCCCATGAGCCTCGTCGTAGTACTTCGACCACAGAGACCGCAACGCCGTCTGGCCTCCCAGATCCCAGAAACACACCTCCTGCCGTTTGTACTGGAACCGCGCCATGTTCAGGCCAACTGTGGGCAGTGTATGCCCCACTTCACCGTTCCAGTTGTGATCTGCAACACGTGTTACTCACACACCGTGTTGTTACTCACACACACCGTGTTGTTGTTACACACACACACCGTGTTGTTGTTACTCACACACCGTGCTGCAAATACACGCGCTAGAGTGCCCGTGCTGAATTACTAATCTCGCTCCGCATTAATTGTAAGGTGGTAGTTTTACCCCCATTGTCCAAGCCTAGGATTAAACACTTCTGCACAACAAATTACTCGCTCTATGCCGCTCTTACTTTAAGTGGTTTCGAAAAGAGCTGCCGAAATATATATGCTATTATACTAAACATAAATACCCCAACTTCCTTCCCTTCGTCAATACCCCAACTTCCTTCCCTTCATCAATACCCCAACTTCCTTCCCTTCATCAATACCCCAACTTCCTTCCCTTCATCAATACCCCAACTTCCTTCCCTTCATCAATACCCCAACTTCCTTCCCTTCATCAGCTCTTTCTAGAGTTTGTTTTTAGTTGTTCAAAACTCGATCTAAGTTTTGCATGGACGTTCTGTTGTTCGGGAGCTTCTTGGAATTGCCTCCTGTCGTCTTCTTCTTCTGGTGTGTTGCCTCCATGATAGCACTACGCTCTTTCATGAGTGAATCGACTTCTGGATTCGAATGCTGTGATTTGTGACCTTTTTCCTGCAAACTCAAAATGCGGTCGATCTCGTCTATTCGGTTCTGCTCCTCTGTTGACAGACGTCGCTGTGACGAGGGGAGACCCTTCTGAAAGTCTCCAGGCTGTGTTTGGTGATGAGCTAAAGGAGTCCCTCGAGTCATATTTAAATGTGCAACGACCCCAGTGGTGGATGACCCCAATGTGGATGACAGTCGGTTATTGAGGTCGACCTCCATTGTTGATGTCAGTCACCATGCCCTCACGGCAACCATTGTACATGAATGATACCCGAAAGTGATACCCGAAAGTGATACCCGAAAGACAAAGTGTTCCGTGTTAGATTAATGCAAAAATTAGGAAAAAAATATGAGCACCCTTACAACGTATTGTAAAGGAGCACACGAAAAATAATCCAATGTTTATTTTGTAGTCCTGTCCTGTCCGATCCGTTCCGCATCCCGTATCTGTCGTCTAAGTATACGTTCGGTCACAGCGTCCGTTCCGTCACTGGTTGGTTACTGTGGGCTGGTTGGTTACTGTGGGTTGGTTGGTTAGTGGTGGTTTCACGACTAGTATATTGTTTTCGTTTCCTCTATCGTCTAGTGACTTTTGATGGTAGTCGCTACTCATCCAGACACCATCAACAATGAATTTAAAGAGGTGAGTACCTGGTGGTAGTGCTATTTCCAGACGGAAGCAACCGAGGGAGTTATCCCAGGATAGAGGTCTGCGTAGATTCCATTGGTCAAAGGATCCGGAGACGGCGACAGATCTTACATTTCTTGCGTTAGGAGGATAGAGTCTGAATTGAACGATTTCAACATATGTTCTTGTGTTAATGTTCGTGGCAGCCCTGGCAGCCTTCATTTGGGCCACGATCTTAGAGACTGGGACGGCGCTGAGATTTCCGGGATCATAAGGAGCGAGAGTGTTGGCAACCTGAGCTACTACTTTTGGGTTAATAAGTACCTTGCTACGTAGTCTGCAAAATTCGGTCATCCAGCCGGTTGCGCATTGTTCGCAGCTAAAGACGGAAGCAGCAGCGTTAGCTCGAAGTGTAGCGTATTTGGCACGGTCCGTGTACACACGCATAGCTCGTTCCCAGGCGTAGACAAAGTCTCCGAGGTTGTAGGCTGAGAAATTAAATCCGTTACCTGTTTCCTTCTCCACGTCGTATTCATGAACCGTATCCTTCAATCCACCCGTGCGGTAGGCGATCACAGGCGTGCCCGCAATGAAGAATTCTTGCTGCACGATACCACCAGGCTCAAACAGTGACGGCATCAGGCCAAAGTCGGCGCCCACATTCACAAGGGTGCCGTCTGTGAAAAACTCATTTGGTGCAGCGTAGAAACTCCATGGGTATTTACTCTTCAAATGGTTCATCAAATGACCGCAACGAGCGCTGTAAGGGTCCTTCCATGTCACCGGACCACCCACCAGGATTTGGACGCGATTATTATAACGCGTTATCATCGACTCCGCCGCCTCCAAAATTAGGTGAACGCCCTTCTGTGTCGTGACTCGCCCAATGAAAGCGAACATTGGGATGGCCAGATCCGGCTTCTCGAAGCTGAAGTACACACGCTGCAGTTCCGCCTTACATGCATCGTGACCGCGGAAAGCAAGTGCGTTAATGCGTGCTTGTCGCTGCGCTACTGGCACTCCGTTTGTGATTGCAAACGGCTGCGGGAAACGATTCAGCAAATAGGCCAGCGGACTCGCCTGGCCGCCAAATTTACCCATCAGGTCGTCACGATAAGACGGAGAAACTGTACCCCATTGGTCACTATGTAGCAACACACATCGGGATGGATTTATAATCGGTGTGGCCCAAAGCGGGTCGATCAGATCATCTCGTGGCAGTTGGTGGATCCAACCGAAATCTTGGCCTGTGGGGGGGTAGATACGGCCTTCGTAAGCCGGGTCGAAGTTATGTACAATGTGGAAGAAGGTAGTAGAGCTAAACACCTCTCCGAAGAATCCCCGTTTAGCATATGCAGGGATTAACCCTGTAGCCCAGTCATTGGTGACCAACACTTGCGGGATCACCTGCAGTTGACAAAGTGCCTCCAAAAACGCCTTGCCGAAAGCCGTCAGCAATTTCACACCCTCAGCCGCTGCTGTATCGGGGTATGGGTGATGCCAGATCTCCTGGTTATGCAAGAACACCAGCTTCACCCCTCGGACGGTACCAGTATGGACTCCAAACGTGACTTGGTCCGGTCCGATCTGTACGTCGATGTTGAACCGCCATTCCACCCCATCTCCCCGCATATAGTCCGTCTCACCGCGTCGGTTAACGTGGTAGTACGGGCACATTACCCAGCAGTCATAACCCAGCTCGTTGCACAGCGTCGAACTCAACTCGTCCACCATAACACCCAGACCACCCACCGTCGACCATTTGCCCAACTCCGATGTTATGAACACGATCGGACCCAATTGTTCCAACGCCAGCAACTCCTCACACAACTTCTTCAGACTGGTAGCGGTCTCGCTCTCTCGACCAGAACTTTGTAGCTCCGAACACGTTTCCGTAACCGACTTTACGTTGAGACCATGTTGGTCGAGACCGTTGAGGATCGTGTGTAATTTTCCAAAGAAGCGAGTAGTCAGCGTTTTATCAAGCGACATAAAGCCGACTTCCGATAGCAGCTCTGGCAGTGTGCGCTCGACGGCTTGCAATTCGAGGTCTTTCTGCCACACCGATGCGCGTGCGATTTCTGTTAACACACTCGCCAGATCGTTCGTGTTCGTTGCTCGTGTTGTGGTCGTCAGAGACTGTACTATGTAGTTGCTCTGCACGGCCAGTCGTAGTTTCGGGCAGGTCTTGTCCGTGGCATTTTTAGCCTTCTCAGCCAGGTACTGCAACCGTCTTAACGAACAAAGGTAGAGTGCCAAACTCATCTGCTGGTCGCTACCATAGCTGTCTAGCAACTTGAAACCAAGACCACCGGTCTGATAACTACCAGCCGCCAGTGTATGCGGGTGCGATAGCAGCTCAGGTAACGTCATCAGACTTATTTTGTTAGCCGCCAGCAAATCTGTATCACCCGTATCTAATAACCTCTCCATATAACTCGTCTTATAATAACCACCCTTCTCACATGCGAATAAGTCCCAACACTCAATCAATGCTCCACTCGATGGATGTCGACTAGAAATCAACCTGGCCAAGAAACTTATCTGCGTCTCCACATGCTTCAACGCTACTTCACCAAAGTTTATAGCCACCAACGCAATGTTTGATCGATCATCGATCCGACAACTACTGAACACTCTCGACAACACGTTACCATCCTCGTCAAAACACTTGATCGGCAGCATCGGAGAGTTCGTAAAAATCGGATATCGCGCGCGGAAGTCCCTTCGATGCTTGTAATGAGCCGAGATCTTTCGAATATCCTGAGGACTATTGTCCCCAAACGACTTAATCTACACAAAACAAGACGTACAATTGTCCGGTCCGGTTTGGTTCCGAACGGGGGTGGTGCGGATTACAAGTTCGGTTTCAAGCTTGTCAACGTCTGCGGAACTTTCGAAGCGGGCAAGAGACTTGGCTCGCGTGAACACGGAACCGGATGTATCTTTGGAGAGAGGCGTGCTGACTTCCTCGTCCTCACCGTCAGCCGTGGCCACGTTTGCTACCCCTCTACGCAGGCACTTGCCTTCATCTTCACCCATAGTTGTACACGGCGTATCCGAACCAAGAAACAGAAGATCCGCCGCCGGCCAAGCACCTCGTTTGTACAGTAGCGTGGGCAACGGGGAGGTGGGCGAAGTCGAAGACTGCATCATCACCGCGCCCTCCGGCAACGACTCATGTGTCTTCTCGTACCAACTCGTTATCACCGGCGCCGGCTCCTCCGGATCCACGTCCTGAATCGAACTAAAAAAAGAACGCATAGACTTTACGTACGACTTCAGGAACGAACCCTCCTCCGGCCGCCCCACCGCCGAAATTGACCGTTGCAAACGACCAGTCGACAAACCCGAAGCCGACCCGGAACTCGAACCCGCTGGACTTGGACCTGAACCTGAAACCACCGCGCCTGGCGGCACTGAACCCGACGTTGACGCCGAACACTCGACCGGTTCCTGGCGCCGCTCCTCCCTCTGCTCCTCGCGCATGCCGGCACTGGTCCGCTGACCCGCCTCCTCCATGAGCGCGGTGGATGAGCGGCCGACGGCCGAGCGGCCTATGGACGAGCGGCCGACGGACGACCGGCCACTCGACGCCTCCGTTGAAGACACCAGCCGTTCCAGCTTGCGCGCGACTGAATTCTGCACCACTGATTTGTCGACCAGGGAAGCGTGACGAGGGTTCGACGAAGACCCATGCCTTCCGGGCGTCACAGTCCGACTGCCGCCTTCTCTCAGAGACTTGCGAGCACCCGTTGGTTTCGACTCCACTCCGGCCTTGACCTCCGCCACCGCCGATGCTGCGCCTGGAACTACGAAAGCCTCCGATGCGGTTTCCATTGCCGATGCGGTTTCCATTGCCGCCACATCCCTTCTCATGACCTCGTTGCGTTCTTGGGTCTTTCGTTCAGAAACCTTCCGTTCGGAAGGATGCGGTCGGTGTCTCCCTGGCTTGCGCTTTGGCTTGCCCTTTCTACCTCTACCCGGGTTGACGAACTGCGGAGGAGACACAACGCGTCGTTCCACGTTCTTCGTTCCCGCATACGGAACCGCAACACATAGACACGAGCCGCTTCCAATTATCGCTCTTTGGGTGACTCCTTGGGTGACTCCTTGGGTGACCCCTTCCTCACTCTCTTGGGCATTCTGACCGAGTTGTCTATCGACCTTCTTGTCAGGTGTATCGACGCGGATAACACCGTGATTTTTGAGGTTCGCATTTCTGGCGTGACCGGCGACCGAAGTTCCACTGTGGGTTGCTTGTAGGATGGGGGATGCAACGCGTTGCTCGTATTCCTCGGAGAGAGCAGTGTTGTAGTTCATTGAATGTTGTAGTCGGTGTGTTAGTCGATCCACTCGGTCGCTCATCCAGTACAAGAGGTAGGGGTCCGCACTGGGGTGAACAATTGCTGTTGTTCGCGGCGACAGGTTCGGTCCATGAGCAATCAGGTATGGGTCACGGGTAGTTGTAGATGAATGCTTCTTCGCTTCCGTGGATGTGTTCGACTGGGGGATCTTGTCCGACGTTTTGGAAGAGAAAGGCTTCTCTTCCGGGACGTTATCAGTACGCCAACTCTGAACATCTTCTTCGTCCGCAACGCCAGAGTCCAACTCCTTACGCAGCAACTCGAACCGGTCGATGTCCTCATTGTCAGTTGGAGCAGGGCGCCAGTAGAAGCGGCAGCCAAGCTCCGGTAGGTGGAAT